GAGTGGGGTTTACAAGATTATTGCGAAGATTTTGACGAACAGATTAAAGGAGGTATTAGGAAAGGTTGTCAAAATTTCAGAATGCCTTCGTCAAAGGGGTGCCAGATTTTGAATTCCGTGCTTATAGCAAACGAATGCATTGTCTCAAGCTTGCGTTTGGAGGTCCCAGGAATGTTATGTAAACTAGATATTCAAAAGGCATATGATCATATTAATTGGAGATTTGTTTTGTATATGACCAGGAGATGTGGTTTTGGGGAGAAATGGTGCCGATGGATTCAGTTTTGTATCTCTACGGTTTCATACTCAGTTATGGTGAATGGTTCCCCGAAGGACTATTTTCGCAGTAGTAGAGGATTGAGACAAGGGGACCCTCTGTCCCCATTACTGTTTGTCATTGTTATGGAAGCTTTTAGTAGAATGCTTGAGAAGGCTGTGGGGGCAAAGTTTGATAAGGTGTTTTGCTGTCGAGCAGTTGCAAGTCTTTCATTTGCTATTTGCAGATGATACGTTGATTTTCTGTGACGCAGATGTTGAGAAATTGAGGAACTTGCGTCGTTTACTCCTATGCTTTGAAGCCGTCTCAGGATTGAAAATTAATTTGGGAAAATCTGAGGCTATCACAGTGGGAGAGGTCGACAACGTGGAAGAGTTAGCTAAGATTTTGGATTGCAGGGTGGCACAATTGCCTATCTCATATCTCGGGCTTCCTCTCGGAGCACGGTTTAAAAGTACACAGATTTGGAATGGTATTGTGGAGAGGATGGATAGGAGGTTAGCATGGTGGAAGCGTATGTACCTTTCGAAGGGAGGTCGTCTTACTCTCATAAAGTCCACCCTGTCGAATCTTCCTACTTACTTTTTGTCATTGTTTCTTATTCCTGTCGCAGTGGCAAAAAGATTATAGAGGATCCAAAGGGAGTTTCTTTGGGGAGGATTAGAAGAGGAGAGGAAGTTGCATTTGATTAACTGGCGTACGGTTTGTTCTCCAATTAGACTCGGTGGTCTCAGTTTGAGAAGTCTTGTAATGTTTAATAAGACTTTGTTGGGTAAGTGGTTGTGGCGATTTGGGGCGGAGAGGGAGAGTTTTTGAAGGAGTATTATAGGGGCAAAATATGGTGTTACGGAGGGGGATGGTGCTCAGGTGAGAGACGTGGTCCTTATGGGGGTGAGTTTGTGACGGTATATTCGGCGAGGGTGGAGCGATTTTAGGGATAGGTTGACATTTGTTGTAGGGAATGGAAATACAATCAGCTTTTGGGATGACTGTTGGTGTGGAGATCAATCGCTTAAGGTGAGATTTCCTTTTTTGTATCGGATTGTGTTGGAGCCGCATGCCACGGTAAATGATATCTTAGATATTCACAATGGGAACTCCAGTTGGAACACTGTTTTTGACCGGGGTCTGCAGGATTGGGAATTAGATGATTATGCGTTGTTTCTGACATCTCCATACGAGGCACATATCAGGGCAGGAGATAATGATAGTAACAGGTGGAGAGTGACAAGAGATGGTATTTTTTCTGTTCGCACCTATTTTCGATCTCTTTCGAGAGTTGAAGAGAGCTCATTCTCCTTGAAAATGGTATGGAAATGTAAACTACCCCCCACGAGTGGGAATACACCTTGGGAAGAGAATAAAAGAAAACAAGTTTGGGGGTGTGTGAATCTCACGAGCGAAAAATGATATATTTGACTTTTTAGGTTGGGAGTTGAACCAACTTGTGAATGGAGAGCGGTGCACTTGATTCTTCAAATACATACTCGTTTTGCATTGAATATGAGAAAATTTCATTTTGTATTATAACTTTGAAGCAGTTCATGAATTTGATATTACGTTTTCAATCATGAGCCATAAAGGCAAGCTATCTAACTAAACTTGTTTTAGGTAAGTTCGTTTATTAATTTCTTAGTTTCTTTTCCTTGTCTTATATGTTTGCTCGAGGACTAGCAAAGTATTAAGTTTGGGGATGTTTGGTGAGTGTCGTTCGCTAATTGTTTTATTGTCTCTTAAACTTGTTATTTTGATTGTCTTTAAAAGTTTTTAGGGCATTTTAACATGTGTTAATGTTTTATAAGTTACGTGAATGGCGTAAAACTTGGAGAAAATGGTGATGTTGGCACAAATTAAGGAAAAGTTGATGTTGCTTTGGTGAAACTTGATGATTGGAGACTAAATGAAAGAATTAAGTGAATAACGACAAAAAAAGATAAAATCTAAAGTTTGAAAACTCAATTGCAACTTTTCAATAATTGATTCGGACAACAAAACCATAATTGAATATTGCTAGGAGTCATCCGGATGCAATTAAAAGTCAAAAAGTTAAATATGATCAAAATATTTCACAAATTAATTTTCAACCACACAAATATGTTGCAAATTTTTAGTCGAAAATTGAAACACATTTTTGACATAGCAAACATTCGAATTGCAAAATGATTTCTGAAGCAAAGTTGTAGCTCTTTGAATTATCTTTCCAGCTCACTTTGAATCACCTCAATCAGATGTAAAAAGAGAAAGTTATGATAAAAATACTGAAGGATGCGCAGTGCTGAATTTTCTACTCGAGAGTGGGCGTCGCAGGGCCACCGTTGCTGAATTTCCACAACAACGAGGCGCCGCTGGACAACTAAGGTATTTTATTTGCGTTGGACTTCTTTTCAACCCGAATTCAACTCCAATTCCTCTTGGGATTTCAAGATGTTATAAATACCAATTAAAAGGCCCTTTTACAAGGACAATTCAACCGGGCAATTATAAAAAATTCAAGATCACAAAGGAGATTGAAGATCTACAAAAACTAATTTTTCTATTATCTCCTCTATGTTTTATTTGAATTTGATTATTTCTATGGCTCGCGTCACGAACTAAACATCTAATGTAGGGTTTAATTAGTCAAAACTTGAGGATATGATTTTATTTTATTTTAGTTATTTCTATTAACATTTCCTTTTCCTTTTTTTTCTTATTGATTTAATGATTTCAATTAATTGGCCACTAATTGAATGATTAGATATTTAGTTAATTCATGCGTTCGAGAGAAGGGAATTTATGGTTACCTTCACGTACATGTTTTATAAGTGTAGTAAAAGATTGGGAAAAGAAGTTGGAAAATTAAACAAACAGTGATAGAAACTCAAAAACATATTCGGTCCATTTTCAAATTTCATATAGTTTCACGTTTACATGATCATTAATCACTTCTAAAGCATGGAAAATTAATTTGAATAAGTGTTTGGTCATTAATTATCCAATTAGATGGTGTTTACATTCATCGAACTTGAAAATAGCGCGAGTTATAGGGATGGTTACTTGAAGTAGTAATGCTATCTAGATTATTTTACCATTTATCGTTTTAATATAGGATTTGAGGGTCGATGTACATGGATGTCACTTGTAGGGTCATTTTAGGGATTGTTCTTTTGGTCTTATAGTTTTTTTACCATATTTTAGAAACTTCTGTTGTGTATATGACTTGTTAAATAGAATTGTAATACTTTTGTAACCTCAAAGTAAACATGTTTGAATAGGGTTAGTCTTTTGTCTTGATATATAATATGAACATTACACATGATCATATGAATATACATAGATTTTATCACAAGGGTCTTTATCCTATTTTACTATTTCAAAAATAAAAATGTGCACTCACATATAGGGATGTCAATGGATTGGATTTTGATGCGAATCCAAAAAAATTAATGGGAGATGGATTTAAGGTCTTAGTTCGATAACCCGATTAAGATATTAAAAACCTAAATCTGCATGTGTTGCAACTTCCTCAAGTAACATGTTTATAAATTCTACGATAAGATATACTATCAGGTTAATAACATAATCACACACTAAAATCTCAATTCAAGCTGATTAATTCATTTTCCCGTTGTGACGTGGTAGAATTCAATTAAGGGCTTTACAAATTTATGCTAACACAAAATTGGCAAATATAACATAGGAAAAAGAATACAGAGCAATGCCACTATCATAGTGCCATTATTATCGTTCCATGAGCTTAAGTAGCATTAATCGTCACTTTTATCTTGGTGGAATCGATTACCAACAGTTCCTCAAATTTCGGGTTTCAATAATTACAGGGATTATAGCAGTTCAAATATAGAAGCATCACAATGAAGCTTTCATACAAGTGGAAATGTCAATTCTCCATACAGCTTTCACTACTATCATCATCTGAATAGAAATGTTAGGCATACATGAAGCTTTTCTTTTAGTTTGAAATTAGTTGTGTATAAAGTTTTTATAGTGATAATATAGTTGTTACTATTATTACGGCTGCTACATTATTGTTATTTACATTACAATTGCTAATTTATTATTAATGATTATGTTGTTATTGCTATTGTTACTCTTGTTACTCATAGTGGGATAATCGTCATGATTATTTTTCCTCCATCTGGGACTCAATTTTCCTTTTGGGCATATGGACACACTTTCCTCTAAAAATAAAAGCCTTCTATCCAAAAAATATTTATTAAAGTACGTAGTTTGACCAGGGATTCACACAATTAGAAGTTAAAAAAGGAAAGATGTATCAAATACTCGCTATTATCCCATTATCCAAAATTTTTATCTCAAGCTTTTAGTCAAAACGTCTATTTGTAATCTATGCATTAAATGTGCCTGCATGACTTCATCATCATCAAGCTTGTTATATTTCTATGAACTGACTGATTAATGAGAGGTTACAATAAAGCAGATAATTGACGAATGTTAGAAACCAAGGACTCGATGGCATCAAAAAAGAACGTGCCACCTCCAAACGGGCCCAACTTTTTGGAGGGACAACGCCTTAGTATCACAATTATATGCACTTTAAGATAGGTTACCTGAAATATATATATATATATATATA